AAAAATTGTCTTAAACCTATTAAAATTTAGCATAGATATAATTCGTTAATGTTGCAACTGTCGAACATTTGTAGATCCTATATACTATTAAATTTTTATTTTTATTTTTATTACCCAAGGTATACTAAGTGTCAGTACAAATTATATATATACTATTAAAATCCATTACGTTATACTGTATGTAGGTGGTAGTCACACCACGTTTTTTAAAAAATAAGTTTATTTTTCTAAATCTTTAGCCTCTTGCGTGTTAGATTCAAGTGTCAGATCCCATAGATCTCGTTAACTACAGGAAATGAATGAAGAAACCTTATAAAAACCTTTTATTAAACATTTTGTTTATGATAAGTTTGCTTTCTTAATTTAATACCTAAAACGTTAGCAGTTAAAATTTAAAAACACAAATTTCCATTCATTAATAAATAATTTAGAACTTATAAAGTTATTCATTATTAATGTCTATTTGTTTTATTATAGGTTTTATGAGCCAAACTGAATATTTTATATTATTTATATAATAATAAGGTCATGTATCCCTAAATAATTATAGCTATAGATAGACATATTGAATTATTATGATTCTATATTTGTTAGAAAGAGTTTTGTTCGCTCTTTTATAGAAATCAAAGATTGTTCAAATTGAATCACAAGAAGCTTAGATATTAATTTTTAAATATAAATTATTAATTAATTAATTTCTTGTTATTCTATGATTTATTTTAGATTATTCTTATGCTGTAAGAATGGATATAGTTTCTTTTTATTGGTTATTAGTCACTGAAGAGTTTTGTCGTTTCAAAAATTATAAATTTAAAAAAGAATGAAAGTCAATGAATAGTCACGTGATCTGAATTTCATAGTTTATTGGCTAATCAATGTCGATCATCACATGAAATTAAACCAATGAATGGATTTTTAATTTATACTATAATTATGTATATTTAAATGGTTATATGTATAGTCATGTCAGATTAAAATAACTTTAAAGTATTAGGATAAGCTTTGTTTGTTCTTTTAGAATATTAAAAATTATTTAAGTGCCGGTCCTTATATGATCGACATAAAATTATTATGCAGATCCGGGGGGAATTTACTATGAAAAACTATGATATACAAATAATTGTCAACAATACCGATAAGGAAAACCCCAAATGTTGTGTAAACAGACACAAAAAAAATCACATTACTCTGTTCTTCATAGCCCGTTCAAACAATATATATATAAAAAAAAATACTCTCTTTATTATTTAAAACGCACTTATAGTACGGTCGACGTTGGATTTTGGTATAAAGAAGTATATTACTAGTAAAATTGCAATTTCTAAAATTTATTACAACCAAACCAAAAACCCATTATTCATGTATTTTTTGAAGATTCTGCTTCTTCCAAAGCACGAAGTGAAGCAGAAGCTTTAAAAGTTCTAGTATAATTTGCAATCCAGTTTTGAATGGTTTGAACTTTTGGAATATCATTTTCTTCTATTTCTTCTTGTGACGCACGTTCTGTAAGATTATCATACATTTCTTGTGCGGACATTTTCTTTCTTTTGTCAATATTTCCATTCAAAAACATTGTTTCCATTAGCGCTTTAATTTCTGGTTTTATTCTTTTTACCGTTCCTCGCTGATTTATTATTTGTTTTTCTTTTAATGCCCACCCCGCAAAGAAGATACCACGTCTATAAATGAATAAATATTAACAAATTGACCAATGGCAAGAAAATATCACAATGTATTATAAAACTTACATTGTGTTTTGTTGTGTATTTTCTTTATTTGTGAGGTCAACCAAATCCAAATCAACAGAAGAAATTATGATCTAATTGGGAATTGGGTTAATATTTGTACAGTAAATAAAGGGATTGTAAGTATTTACCGTATTAATTTTCTGATTATTGTTTTGGATATTATTTATTTCTGATGCTAATAAAAAAGTATTGGAAATTTAAGATTAGAGTTCAAAATTAACAAAAATACGATCAATAACTTACAAATTGGTCTTAATATTGGAGTTACCCATTGATTAGTTGCTTTAGAAGGAGTAGTAAAACTAGGATTTGGTTTTGTAGTTGGAGTTTTTTCCAACTTTTTTATTTTCGCTGGCGTAATCGTTGTCCATTCATTTATATGAGGTAAGGCACGTGCAAGTATATGACCTGCATTAGGACCATCAACTGGCCAAGACCATTCATTCCAATTATTTATACCAGCTATAGTTCCGATCTTTGTTTTTTTGTCTATTCAAAAAAATTGTATCAAAAATTCAATCTAATATCTAAAAAATCAATATATTTTTTTTTAATTCTTACCAAATTCACGATCAGGTGTCAGTTGTGAAAAGCGAGCTCCTGAAATATTCTGTATTGCTTTTTGAATATCTTCTCCATCAGTAATATTCAATCCAAGTCGTACATAACGTTTTATTGCTTGTGAAATCTACAAAAATAAAATAATGTAAGTAATAAAAAAAATAATTTTCTTCAAGTTTTACATTACTTGAGCATGATGGGAATCTATTGATGTTTTGGCTTCTCCAGCCTCTAAGAATATCCACCGTCTCACTTCTACATTGTACCAATCATACCAATAAGAAAGGATGATCATCAGTTGTGTATTGTGATAATGTGGACCATTATCAGAAATAATCGTTATCCATTTAGGTTTTTGTTCAAGATTTTCTATTACAGCATGGAGAGAAGAGGCAGTGAACCAAGCATCTTGCTTGGTGTCATCAGACCAGTGATCGAATGCTTCAATATTCATAGTTTGTGTACCTTTGATTTTTTGATACACAAGAACTGAATGCAAAGTCCATCCGCGTTTTCCAAAAAATTCAGATTTTGTCTCACGAGAAGTTTGTGGAAGAATTCTCATCTTATAATCAACAATAAGGACTGCACCTTCATCATCCAACTCTTGAAGTCTAATATTAAATTGTGAATTTAGGTAAAATTTTCTAATAAGGTGAGATAACCAGAATATTAGTTGCTTTAGTTTAATATTCAAAAATTCGTGATGCTCGGCTGATAATTGTTTTTTTAACAGCTCAAAGATGAAAAATAATTTATTGCATTGTGAACATGCATCAGTATGTGATTCTGAACATATTCCAAAAGCATGAATTAAGCAATGACAGATACAAGGATTGTGTTTTGGTTTTCCGGTAATATCAACTTTCAACTCTTTTTCAAAATCCTTTCTGAGATATCGTCGAAGAATCTGTAATTGTTTACATAAATCGTTCTTTTTTCAAATAATAGACGCTATTATTATTATTATAACGTGATAATTACAAAGGTACATGAAATATTTACCTTCAATTGCGTATTTACAATATTATTTTCTATCAATTTTTCAAGATCTAAAAATACCTCATAAAAATTTTCATTGCATATTGAACACAGTCCCCCTAAATTTCCTTATAGACAAATCTACCACTTTCCAATCGTGTCATAAAGGATGTACGTCCCATACCATTAGGATAAAGTTCTGTGAACTTTTCCCATAAAGATTTTTTATTATTCTGCAGGTACAAGATAGGTAATCCACTTTCATTATCCGTCTTATAGGATGACATGTTTACATTATTTTTATCAGAAAAAAAAGAGTCAAATTGATCTAATTTTTCTTGTGATAATCTCATACGATGTGTGACAGGCTTCAACATCGGAGGGCAGCCGTAACCACATAATCGTGAATGTCGCTTTGCATCAATTATTGTGTGACTTCCAACCTATGATTTATAATAGGTGCATGGTGTAACAAAAAAAAATCATACGATCTTAATTTTTTTGAATAATTTTTTCAAATAATTTTTTTTTTCGAATAATTTTTTTGAATAATTTTTTCAAATAATTTTTTTTTCGGATAATTTTTTCAAATAATTTTTTTTTTGAATAATTTTTTTCAAATTATAATCTCATTTTATTATCAAATAATAAATCAAATAATATATTTTTTCTAATATTTATACATAAAATCTATTCAAAATGTTTTTGTTTCTATGAACGTATATATATTTCTAAAATCTATATTTCTATGAATGTATGTATATTTCTATGAATGTATAAGTCTATATTCTATGAATGTATATAGTCTATATTCTATGAATGTATAAGTCTATATTTCTATGAACGGATAAGTCTATCAAAAATGTTTGTATTTCTATGAATGTATAAAATAAAATCTAAATAGATAAAAATTGGGCTAAATCCTTTCTGTTTGTAAGTGTGCTTTTGTTGTTATTATATTACACTTACCTTCAGGTTTTTTTCAAGTTGGGAGTATGTGAATTGATCAGCAATTATAGATATAACCCTACGCTTACCATCATGGGTTTTTTTATTTTCTTTTATAGCACGATCAAAACAATACCAAAATTTTTTTGTCGAATTTGGCATATGAATGGGTGTTGATACAAGAAAGCCCATTTTGTAAAGATTTGAAATTGTATCACTATCTTTTATAGGATTAGAGGCTCGCGTCCAGAACTGAAACTTTTTATAATAAAGTTAGTATGCAGATTGAATTATCTCTTTTATATATCAAATACAAAAAACTAACCTTTGATTCATCAGAATTGAAAGGAGTGATCAGATGAGCACCAGCCGCTTTTAGCAAAGCTCGCCATGCACGCAATTCCCTATCCCCAAATTTATGACGTTTTGGATAAATTTTTTTCAGATTTGAATAAAGCTCAAAAATATCACTATCTTGTTTTCCCCAATGACACTACTAGAAAACAATATAAAATTTCGGTAGGTTAATTAATGTTATGAATTGTTAATTTTTGACAGTGCATGTTCCATTTAAGTCTTTAAGATAACCTATATCAAAAATTGTATACCAATTAATCTTTGAAATAGTTCGTCTCTTTAGATGATATTCAAATAATTTTGACATCAGAGACAGATTACCCCAATTACTAGGCGTGCATGTGGGAACATGATGCACGCGTAATGAATTTTGTGTTTTTTGATATTTGAGACCATAAAGTTCGCTCCCATCATACTTTTACATAAACCATGATTTGCGCCAAACTTCACTTGGTGTAGAGCCACGAATTATTTTTATTTTTTGTGCTTGTTGATAGATTTCAATAATACATTCATTATCAACAATTCTTGAAACAAATAACGCTTGTTTCTTATTGTAAAAGTGAAGGAGAGATGATGAATAGCCTGAACCAGCATTATGCCACTCGGGATGAGATGATACCCCTAAGTCATGTATAAAAATTTTATATTTATCAATTGTAATTTGAAATGGAATAAATCTAAAACCACGAGATATTTCTTCTATTATTTTTGGATCGTTTTGTCCTATTATTGTTGGTCCCGAAAATTTAGTTGAGTTATGAAAAATTTCATTATATAAAGAGCTAATAGCTCTAGTAGGAGAGGTTTCTATTTTCCCAGAAAATGAACCTGAACTACAAAAATATCCAGGCTGTCTAGGGTGTTCTGAATTTCCAAGAACCACTGAAACTATAAACTCCCGATTATTGCGAAAAACACGAGTCTTCTGACCCAAGCGAATAGGAAAAAAAATATGTTCGTTACTATCATTTGTAGATCGGGAACTCCACCAGTAACGGGCAAATGGTCCATAGTGTAAATTTTCATTAATAGTGCCTGGTGTTAACAATGTAACTGGAACTTCAAGGTGTTTTGCCATTATTTTTGTGAAAGTAAGAAGTCAACAGCAGATTTTAAACGCGACCTTTATTACTATGAGATTATCCCCGAATGTTATTATTATCGATATTAATAATCAATGTCGATCATAACCGGATTAGCACTTAAATTGAATCACAGGAAACAGTTATTAAACTTTAAAATTATACTTTTTTTCTTTTTTTTTGTTCAACGTGAAAAATCTGAAGACCTGATTTCCTATGATGAAATAATGAAAATTAGAAAGGTCGCACTAAGTTGAAAACAGCGATAAATAATTCAAGCTTAAAAATAAAAAAAAAATTCACATCATTTTAAAGTGATTTAATTATTTCTTGATAGTTTAAGATAAAATCCGTTATTTTACAAGATTCTAATTTGTATATTCAATAAGTAAATTCTATTATATTCCAAATAGAATTGATTGATAATGTTAAATTCGTAGTCTCCGAACCAGTGAACATTTTGGGAAATCGTTTTGCAAATTAATTACCCTTAAATGGCTTTTGAACTAATTTGCCCAGAAATTTTTTTTTAAATGTTATAGAATAATGTTCCGAATGATAAAATTTGCGTCATCATATTAGTTGATTAACATATACTTGCTAATTAAGGTTACGATGTTATACAAATTGGTGATATTAGCGTGATAAACTAGCCAAAATTTGTATTACAACCCCAATTGCTTAAAATTGAGAGAATCAAGGTTCGGCAAAATTATTATATTGTATGATTAGAAATTTTTTCTTTAGTGACGCTGGATTCCAGCCTTTAAAAACACTATATTATTCAATTACAGGAAGTGTACCGATCACAAACTTAATATTTTTTATTAAAATATTATTTATAGGTTGGTAAATAATTTATTTTAAAAGGCATGATAAACAAAAAAAAAAAAATATAAAATATTAAATTATTTATTTCTATCGATCACAGGCTGACTAGCTTATTGTACCATGTTTTACTTATATTGAGCGGTATATCTAATTTTGAATGGTAGATACTTTTGGAATGTCAGTTTCTTCCAAACTACCTTTCTTTAATAAGTTCATATCACATTTCCTGCCTGCTATCATATCTATTGCTTTTATCTAAATTTGCTGCTAATTAATTTACAAAGATAATTCCTGAAATATAATAGTAGAATTCACCGGTTGGAAATAGGTCACCAACTAATATTTTTCTTTCTTAAGCTTTGTTAAAGAAATTTAGAAATTCTGATTGTGCTGAACTTTATTAACCGCAGTCCTGCATGCTGAAGATCAGTGAAATTTCGACATAAATAGTTTACAAAAGAAAAAAAATATTTTATTTTCAAAACGTAAAACTAAATTCTGCTGCAACATTATTGTATACCCAACAATGTCTAATAACGCTGAACTTACCAAAAATTCAAATGAGTATAATTGGATTGAAGATGCAATTTCTAAAAAACTTATTAAATATTATGAATTTGAACAATTTTGCGATCTGCAAGAAATTGGTTTCGGAGGTTTTGGAAAAGTTTATCGTGCAAGTTGGAAGAATTATTACAAACAATGTGCACTAAAATCCTTTTTTAATTTCAATGACTCTACAGTTAAAGGAATTGCCCGTGAGGTAATTTTAATATCGAACATATTTCAATTTATATATGTACATTTCTATTATTAACAAACTTCTATTTATTGCTTAGATTCAACTTCAGCGCGAAGTTGATTTTCATAATAACATAATCCGTTTTTATGGTGTCACAACTTCTAGTAAAGGTATCAAAAATTTTAGTAATAATATTTTTTTTTTATATTAAATAAACTAACTTGTAAATTTTTCTTTTTTAAAAGAAAATCAAAGAAAAAAGTATATGTTAGTAATGGAATATGCCGACAATGGTACCCTCCGAAAATATTTGAAAGAAAATTTGGAAAAACTCACTTGGAATGATAAATTCAATCTTGCATTCCAACTGGTTTGCGCAGTATCATGCTTACATAACGAAGGGATCATGCACCGCGATTTGGTAATTAATTTACATCTTATTATGATTTACGTAGTGTATTTTAGCAATTAGCTCATCTTAATTTAATTATTTTAATTTAATGTAATTGAATAGCACTCCAATAATATATTAGTTCATCAGAATACTGTCAAGCTAGCAGATTTTGGCTTATCAAAAAGAATTGAAGAAATACCCAACTCTCAATCAAAAACATTTGGATTAATTCCATATGTTGATCCAAAAAGTTTTAATAGTAGTACAACAGAATTATATGTATTAAATAAAAAAAGTGATGTTTATAGCATTGGCGTATTGTTATGGGAAATATCCAGTTGCCAGCCTTCTTTTCACGGTAAACCATATGATGTTGGTTTAGCTTTAAGTATTTTACAAGGCCTTAGAGAAACACCCACTCATGATACACCTAAAGAATATATTAAAATTTATATTGGTATGTATAAAATTACATTTATATGATCTAAATCATATAATTCTAATTAATTGAAGATAATTTTCTGTAGATTGTTGGAATTTTGAACCTGATAATCGTCCAACTATTGATCAGGTAGTTGAAGAATTAAAAGTACTCATAACGAAAGAAAACGTAATTATAAAAGATTTTCACTTATATAATAATACCAATAATACTCTGTCATCAAATAACCATCAACTTTCTAATTCAACTGTTAAAATTTCTGAAAGTACTAATTCATTAAACGGAGAATTACAATTTATTCCGAATACAAAAGATATAGAATCTTTAATGTCATCAAGTAACCAGTTTGAGAATAACTTTGATACAATAGTTATTAATACTATGTTCAATCTTTTTAATGATAGTGATGAAATAGGGAAGAAAAAGGTCTTAAGTTATCTCAATGAACAAAGTATAACTTTGCAATAGATCAATAATTTATTATTAAATAATCAAAATAACTCGCATTCTATTTACTTGGAAAATTTAACAATTTAGGAATTGGAATCAGTGTTGATAATAAAAAAGCATTCAAGTTATATCAAAAAGCAGCAGATTTAGGAAATTCACATGGAACAAATAATTTAGGGAATTGTTATCAATATGGAATTGGAACTGATATTGATAATAAAAAGCATTTGAATTGTATCAAAAGGTTGCAGATTTAGGAAATTCTTATGGAATAAATAGTTTAGGAGATTGTTATCAAAATGGAATTGGTACTGATATTGATTATCAAAAAGCATTTAAATTATATCAAAAGGCAGCAGATTTAGGAAATGAATTTGGGATAAATAGTATAGGATATTGTTATCAAAATGGATTTGGTACTGATATTGATAATAAAAAAGCATTTGAATTATATCAAAAGGCATCGGATTTAGGAAATTCATATGGAATAAATAATTTAGGACAAAGTTATCAAAATGGAATTGGAATTGATATTGATAATAAAAAAGCATTTAAATTATATCAAAAGGCAACAGATTTAGGAAATTCATATGGAATAAATAATTTAGGAAATTGTTATCAAAATGGAATTGGAATTGATATTGATAATAAAAAAGCATTTAAATTATATCAAAAGGCAGCAGATTTAGGAAATTCATATGGAATAAATAATTTAGGAAATTGTTATCAATATGGAATTGAAATTAATATTGATAATAAAAAAGCATTTGAATTATATCAAAAGGCATCAGATTTAGGAAATTCTTATGGAATAAATAGTTTAGGAGATTGTTATGAAAATGGAATTGGAACTGATATTGATAAGAAAAAAGCATTTGAATTATATCAAAAGGCAGCAGATTTAGAAAATACATTTGGAATAACCAACCTAGGAAATTGTTATCTTAATGGAATTGGGACTGGTATTGATTATCAAAAGGCATTTGAATTATATGAAAAGGTATCAAATTTAGGGATGAGTGTAGCTCAATATAATCTTGCTATGATGTATGAGAATGGAAAAGGAACTGTGAAAAATATAAATAAAGCAATTTATTGGTACAAAAAATCTGCTGAACAAGGAAATCAAGTTGCTCTAAATAAATTAGAGGAGCTTAAATAGAAAATAAAGAATAATTCATGTAAAAGTAAATTAAGAATATTTGATTAAATATTTAAATAAAATAGCACATAACTAGTAAACCATTATTTTTTAAATATTATTAAATTGCCATCTAATATTTTTAAATTAAAATTTATTAATAAAAATTTTTCATTTACAAGGTATGGTGCCAGAAGTCTATACTTGACAATAAAAATATAACACTTAAAAATCTTCAACTCCTTAAAAAAAAAATACAATTTAGAAAAAATAAATTGGTAACTATATTCTTTGAGGTAAGCTCTATCAAATTATCGGTCAGATTTTTAAAAGAAGATCTACGTAAAAAGTTATAAGCATTTGAAATTGCATGATTTTCATATGATCGGCCCAAGTTTGAAACAAAATATGTTGGCAGAACTTGTGATAATTTGGGCCGACTCTATGCATTGTGATAATGCCAGCTCGAATTATCATAATATGAATCAAATGTAATTTTTTTAAAAAAAAATTTTTTATCAATGTATAGCTTTTATGAAGTGGTAGTTGCGATTTATTTCCGAAATCTACTTTTTCTTATGTTTTATCTTGTTTGTAATAAAAAATTTTCAAAAACCGCATTTCATTAGTACTTTACACAAGAAATCCCGGATCACATGATATAGAATCGGCTCAGAAAATTGACCGTATAGACTTCCGGAACAATTTATGTGCTAATTACTATCTACCTATTTATTGTGCCAAGAAATTAGTATTAATTAAACAATAATTTAATCTATTATTATAATATTACTAGACTAAAGCTGTTCTCAAGCATCTCCTTCAATTTCATCAAATAGTTACGTTATTGTCACAATCAATAAATTGAAACGATGATTGAGCAATTGAAGGTCATTGAAGAAAAGTGGTTACTAATCAATCTATCATTAGGGGCCCTAATTAACCAATTTTTATTTTAGAATTATTAAATTTAACAATAAATACAGTCGTTCCAGGGCCTCGGAACTATTATTATTTAAAATTACTCGATTTAATAGCAACAATAAATAGTCAGTTGAGTACATTTTATATCATAATTATTAATTACCTTATAAAACTGCCTAAAGTATTCAAGGTCTAACAATTTAAATTGAATTATACCAGCAGGGAGGGTATTGATATTATACTATGGGCAGTATATTTCAAGGGAGATAGTACGCTACACAGCCAATATACCGAACAATTAATCAGAGTCGTTATTTATTGATCTATTTAAATGACGCTTTATTAGCAAATAAATACAATATCCATAAACGAAATTTTATTGATTAATGGTTGGTCTTAATCAAAAAAAAATTTTTTACGTCAAATGGTTCTGCCATGTAAAGAGAAAATTTAGGAGAGCATAGTAAACATGTAGTGTATGGTTGGCTATGTATGTAGGGTATGGTTAAACATCACATATAAAATGATCACGTGACCATACGTGTTACAAAATAGAACGGTCTAGGCCTTTCTATATTTGGTAATAAACAATGTAGATCTGTATGGAACGCGTGTGAAATTTTGCATACCCTACATACATAGGTATCCATACAATACATGTTATCGTAACACCCAAAATGTTTTTTAGCGATAAAATACTCAGTTATTATAATGAGAATATGCCAAGGGGAAGTTTTTTAGTCAGTGCTATACGGTAACTGTTTCTGAGGAAGAAGCTATTAGGAAACATGTTCCTGAATTTGTTTTTGTAAAATTATTTCCATAGTAAAACTTTATTATAAACTTTATTATGAACATTCAAGGCACAATAACAATATGAGAACTTTTTCACCTGCACCAAAGGAGTTAAAATTCGGACCACTTTCTTTAGAAAAGACGCTCACTCGAGGAAATTTACAAAAATTCTGCGCTAAAATGTCATGCTCCTTTACTTTCGCTTTTATTGACAAGCTAATTCTATATACGTTATATTAAAGTCTTCTTAGATGTCAATGCTTAAGAAAACAATAATGTTGATGTGAAAACATCCCAAAAGCATCCACAAGCCAGCTGCAATGTATGGAAACTTCTGAATACCGAGTAAATATGATAACGAAGAAATTTTAGCCAGTACTAAAGATCCATATCCTATAAAATTATAGACGGTTTTTTGACGTGCACTATGAATTAAGCCTTGAATTTTCTTTGAGTCAAAAAATTTTTACTCGTTTCATTAAAAACTGGCTTGCCGTTAAATGGTAATGTCTGAATATTGCTAAGAACTTGGAATTAGTATTAGCAAAAGTCAGTTGAATTTAGTGACTTTGACTCAGTTAATTAATAATTACTGTCAAAATTGATATAATGATTGCTATCATAAAATAGGATATGGAAAATATATGGTACAAGGGCAATTGTTTAAGTGCTAATATAGATGTAGCTTACGCGATTTAAAGAAATATTTAATGGCAATCATTATCTAAATTATGCGCTTAATGCCGTTATGTTTGCTTAATTAATTATAAAAAAAAATATCATTTGATTTGAACTCTAAGATAATAACAGAAAATATCATAAAAATATTATAAATTTCAATGTTTTTCTATTATTAAAGGTAAATGAATCACAAAGTTAATCATTGACATAGATTTTATTCGGGCAATTGTTAATTAACTTAATTATAATAATAATAGTATATACTTTACAAAAAAACCCAAATTCGACATAAGGCTAATAAAATTATTTTAATAGGCTGGTAATAGGAATAAATTAGACCTATCATCAAGCTCGTTAATAGTACTAGTAAGAAAATTGTAAACGAATATTTTAGGACTAAATAATAAGACTTTAAGCATTTTAGTATAATAGTAAAATAATTTTAATACAATATAAGTTTAATAACAACACTATGCAATATCACATTTAAAATAAAATTATAATAAAAATAATATTATTGAATATTTATTTAATATTCGCTAAAAATATTATATCTAATTGCTATAAAGTGTCATATTGTTAATTTTCACCCAAATTACATCGTCAAAAATAAGAATCTATTTTGAAACAATAATACATAACAAATGATATGACTTCATTCAATTAAAAAATTTTTGTTTAAATATTACCTACAAAATACGTTAGTGTTTTTAATAAAAAAAAATGAAAAGAAAAGTTTCCAAAGTTAGTTAACTTCAAAACTTACCATCCAAGTCCAAAATCTATAAAAGAAGCAGGAAATGTTAATAATTGTTTCTTTAAAAAAGAAAATTAAATAAAAAAAAATTTGAAGTATGTAACTTTGAAACTCACCATTTTGACATCACGAAGAGCTTTAAGTCCAACTTCGAAACTAACCAAGGATTCCTAATTAACGTCCAAATTCAAAGCCAGAACCTATAAAAATAAGAAACCATTAGTTATTAAAAAATAAGGAAAACCCAAGTTTTGTAGGTGTTGCAAGACTTACCATTTTCATTCCCAGTGGTTTACTCATTTATATTCAAGAGTCCGAAACCTATAAAAGAAGAAAATGAAACATTAAAAATGTTTTATTTATTAATGGAACAATTCATTAAATTTCCTCTATCCTTAGTATTGAGGAACCAGTTACCTAAAAAAAAAAAATAAATAAAAATAATGAAGTGTTAATGATTATTTCGTCAAATTTTTTTTTAAAAAAATCCTAATATCCATTTCTCAAGATCTAGAAGAACTGACTGCGTATAAAAAAATGAAAACCTTGATATCTATTTCTTGAGATGTGAAGAACTGACTGCCTACAAAATAAAAAAAAGGAACTGTTAGTAAGGTTCGTCAAAATAAAAAATTAAAAAAACAAAACTTATAATATTACACTATATTGTTAGCCATTGAAATTCCACATGTCTAAAATGAACTGAAAGACCCAACTAAAAAAAAGAACCATTATAAACAGTTCATTAAAAAAAATTTTTTAAAAAAGGCAAGATTTTACCAGAATTCTATGCGTTTAAAAACCTTACAACAATTCGTTAGAATAAATAAATCATATATTTCCAGGTTTTCTTAACAAGATTCTGTATCTAAAGAGCTGCCTAATAAAGAAGAAACAAAGAATGTTAAAAATCATTTATCAAGATAAAATTTACAGGAATGTCATGTCCAAAAAACAGTCTAAAAGAAAAAAATCAAAACTAAAAATGTTTATTTAAATAAATAGTCCTTCGTTGCACTCCAGACTAATAATTTTTTTAATGGAAAGTTAAAGAAAAGAGGGAAAGGGAAAGGACGAAGGAAAGGAGATGGAAAAAAATAAGAGTTCTTTGATTGTGCGACTTTGATGATTATCGTTCTTATAATGTAATATAAAGTCATGTGATTTGCTTACGTTACTCTTGCAAATTGAAAAATATAAAAAAAGCTTAAAATATTGTGCCAGATAAATAAATACAATGAATAAATTAATAAGTTTAAAGAGATAATAATAAAAAGTTTAACTAAAAGAAGTTAAAAAAATAGCTTAATTTTTTATATACAGTATTTCATATTGGAGAACAATTAGACTTAGACTTATTTATAAACTTACTAACTAAATAGAAGAAAATCGTATAATAAATATTGTTGATAAAAATAAATATTAGCACAATACCAAAAATATAAAATTCATTAAATTAATTTTATTATTTTCCTCTGTAATAGCACTGTAATAGTAATATAATAGCTATATGAATTTTTTAGTGAATATGCAAAACTGTCGGAAATATTGAAACTCTATTGTTAGTGTATTATAAGCCTTTAATATGGCCTAGTGTAGGCCTATATTTTCAATTTTATGTAAAAAATTTGTTTAATATGCTTTTAATAGCCCACAATATGGCTAATTGTTAATAGATTTAGCATATTATAATGCTAATACCAAAATTCGAGATTTTTGTAAAGTATGTTTTATCAATATATTTCGTTTATGACATCAGTTGCACCTAAATAAAACAGGTTGGCGAGATACAAGTCTGACATCTCGATCAACAGAAATCAAGAAATCATAATTATATATTTCCTAGATATTGTAAGTTTTTACTATTTATGTGGTTTATATTGAACTGTCTTGAACTCTAAATAGAATTATTATTGTACGGTGTTGTTTTATATTGGTTAACGTCACGATAAGTAAATAGGCACAGTTACAACTCAAGTAGCTGTGAATTATATAAATATCAAATAAAAAATTTTTTACCATCTAACATTACTAAGTTCGACTGAAATCAAGAATTAATTTGTCAGCATTAAGGGGAGGGTGCACATACAGTATTTTAATGTACTATATATTTATATCCCAGGTCTTTTTTTTATTATATATACTAGCACTTCATAAAGTATCTCACGTTCTTAAAAATAATAATTTAAAAAATCTTTTATTGCAAGTTTTAACCAAAGTTAAAGTATTTCCAACTTAAATACTATTACTAAATAAAAATATACTAACACCGAAAATAAGGTTTCCTTAACTAATTATCTAATTTAAATATTGGTCTATTACTTAAGTAAATTGAATACTACATATTTAAAATTTACTATTTCCAGCAGAAATTTTCACTGTAGAAAACCAATATGCGAATACAATAAAAGATTCATTTTTTAGTTCGAACCAAAAAAAAAAGTAAAAAAAATTATTTTTCGTCATTGGAAAAAGGCAAGAATAAAAAAAATGAAAATAATAATTAAAAAAATTTTTTATTGGCTTAAAAAAATTCAGTCTATAGTAAGAACCGGGAGAAAATGAAAGGTGATTAATAAAAATTAAATTTTTTTTATTAACATTATTATCTTAGTAAAAAAAAATATCCGTTCAAAATTTCATTAACCGAAATTGATAAATTATTTATCTGTAGTAAATAACATGTCACACAATTCAAAATTATTTATAAAGAGGGTAATCCAAATATTACCGGAATTTTTTTAGTTATATAGATGATCCTTTTTATTTTAAAATTTATTTTTGCTGATATATAAATAATAAATCATATTTGTGATATATAATTAATGTATTACATATAAATCATTACAAATAATATATTAATATAATCAGGTTTCAAAAAATTATTAAATAGACTATAAATATAAACTCATGGTCCAATAAATTTAATCAATTTTTAACATTTCGGTTAAATATGACTACAAATTAATCCTTTAATAAGTTTTACAGTTTAGTTATACTTTTTAATACTTTTACTATAATAACAACATGATCTTGCGTGACTGACGCAATAACTATTATTTATTGTACGGACGCTTAACAATCTGATGTGGCGCTTCGCGCCACATCATACCATTATTAAGCACGCCCAAATTTCATATTTTATTTAAAATAACAAAATAATAATAATCATAAGCTAATATTATCTATACTATATATAAAATATGTATTATATAATATCCTATTTTTTTTAAAAAAAAATATATATATATATTATGACCCCACTTTTAAACTTTCTAATTTACTTTGAGCATTCGGATATCCTTGATTTGCGGAACGTTTATACCAGTAAATCGCTTGATTAATATCCTCATGTTCATACATACTTGCAAGATTATATTGAGCTACACTATACCCTAAATTTGCGGCTTGCTTATATAATTCAAGCGCCTTTTTATTATTAATATTAGTTCCAATTCCATTAAAATAACAATATCCTAACATTGAGATTCCTCTCAAATAATTTTTTTCTGCTAATTGTTTAAATATTTCAAAAGCTTTTTTATAATCTTTATTATTATCTTGATCACCTTTTTTATATATCATTGCAAGATTAAATTGAGCTGTTAAACTTCCATTATTTGCCGCCCTTTTATACCAATAATTTGCCATTCTTGAATCTTTTTTAACACCTATTCCTTTATCATAAAATAAACCAATTTTAAATTCTCCAGCTGCATGATTTTCGTTAGCTATTTCTTCATAATATTGAAAAGCAATTTCTTCACTTTTTAAAGCACCATCACCAAATTCATGACATAAACCAATATAATATTTTGCTAAATTATAATTTTTTTCCGCCGCTTTAGAGAATAAAGAAAATGCTTCTTCATAATTTTTTTCTATACAAATTCCACAATAATTAAAATATCCTAATAAAAAGATCAAATTTGTCTTATTATTAATTTGATTATTATTTAAGAACCAAGTATAAATTTCTTGTAAATTAATTTTACAACTATTATTAATATAATCCAAAATATTTTCTTTAATTTTAATATCATCATCATTTTTTTCATTAATTGATATATTAATTATTTCAATAATTTTATCAGATATCATAAAAAAATCTTTTGATAAATTATTTTTGTTTATAATTGATTCATTTGATGAAGTTGATGATGATGTTGGAGTTGTTGAAGTTCCAATTTCTTTAATATTCTTTTTTTCAAAATTTTGATAAACATTTTTTTGTAAAATTATTGTTGACAATTTTCTAACAACTTCTTGCATAGATGGTCTTTTATCCGGTTCAACGTCCCAACATTCTAATAATAATAATATTTATGAACTGGTTATTATTTTTTTTTTAATGAAAATATAAATATCATTTATATATAAATAAATATTTACCTGTATAAAGTTTTGCATAGTCACTAGGAGTTTCAGGTATAATAGATTCTCTGAGACCTTGTGAAATTTCTATGGCCAAACCGATATCATATTCACCATTAGTATTAAATGGAGTATATCCACAAGATATTATCCATAATAATACGCCTACGCTATAAACATCACTTTTTACATTTAATGAGGATAATGCATTACTATTTCGTAAACTAAAACATTTTGGATCGACGTACGGAATAATTTTATATAATATTGATTTGGATTCATTTCCAATTCTCTTCGATAATCCAAAATCACCTATTTTGATAGAATTCTGATGAACAAACACTTTTTTGGAGTGCTTTTTAAATAATTTCGTATTAGATTGATAAATTATATTAAGAGAGAGTTGCGATAAATATAAAAGTAATGAATAAATTAAATAAAATAAAATTACCAAACCACAATGTACGATTCCTGCTTCGTGCATAGTCGATACAGCGTAGGCTAATTGAAGCGCCATATTTAATTTATCATTCCATGTAAGGTCCTTAAAATGTATCTTCAAATAATCTTGAAGGGTACCGCCATTGGCATAATCCATTACTATCATATAACTATTTAACTTCTTATTTTGTATTTCTAAATAAAAAAAAATTTTTTAAGTAAATTTTTAATTATAAAAAACGTAATAAATATTTTTATCATACCTAGATTAGTAATGCCGTAAAGACGAATATTATCATGAAAATTGACCGTATGTTGAAGTTTGAACTTTAAATCATAAATAATATGAATTAATTAATTGTTAATTAGTTATTTAATAAATTATCTTAATATATATAATATATATATATATTTTTTTAGATAAATTACCTCGTAAAGAGTTTCTTTAACCATGACAGTATTGATATTTAGAAAAGATTTCAATACGAAACATTTTTGAGAATTCTTCCAGTTTGCTCGATAAACTTTACCAAAATTTCCTGAACCGATTTCTTGAATATTAGTAAAATCTTTAAATTCATAATGTTTAAGATAATTTTTAGAAATAGCATCGTTGATCCAATTGATCTCTTTTGAATTATCTGTGGAAACTTTATTAAGTTCCATAGTATTTTTTGACATGTTTGAAATTATTTTTTTTTTTTTTTTT